CAAGACAAAAGGCTCGATTCGCCATGGGAAGGCCCATATGAAATTATTGGAATAATAGATAATCAAGCAGCAACAATTCGAAAAGGAAATCGAAACGTAACATATCATCTATCCGACTTGAAACCGTTCTATGTTACAGAGACAGAAGAGGAAAATCAAGAAGCTGCACGAGAACAAGACGAAAATGAATCAATTATTGAAGCTACTGATTCTGAGCACATTGATACACGAAGCACCGACGAAACCGATTGATCGAGAAGAAATAATTATAACGCCAATAGACACAAAGAAATCAATTTACTTGGAACATATAAAAGAAGCTCAATTATATCACGACACATGGAAAGTCACTGTTGGAATTGAATATAGACACTTACAAGACGAAATAAGATTATTAGTATTACATACGAATCAGCTAGCCAAACGATGTAATGAGATTGATCCATGTTTAAGCAAGCAAAGAATAATCCTGCAGCAAGAAAGAAACAAACGACTAAATCTAGAATTAAAGTCTTTAAGAAAATTTATGGGTCACATACAAAGAAGAGGATTACTCAACGCTGTAGGTGAAGGAATGAAAATATTGTTCGGAACGATGACTGCATCAGACGCAGAATATTACAACAATGAATTGGATAAACTAAGAGAAGACAATATCAAAATAGCCCATCTAGTAAGAAATCAAACGACAATACTGCTTCACAAAATACAAGATAATCTTGGAACCTACAAATTTATTCAGCAGCAAACAGATAAACTGAACATCAACTTCGTACTGCTACAAAACGCTACGAAGGAAGAAATATTCAATCTAGAGATAGATGAAACTTTGGCTGATTACATATTTCTCTACCATGATGTCTCTATGACAATGCAAAAGCTCCAAGAAGCTATAGTTGACGGCAAGCATGGCATAGTACATCCAACGATACTACCTCCGTCAGAACTATTTGAAGCAATGAGAAACACCACTAAGTTCGAGAAATTCCCTGTGCCATTAAAAGAAGAATATTACGGAATATTGTTAGACACAAGTGAAATATCGATAACACTGACGAATGAAAAACTGATCTATAACCTCCGAATCCCAATATTAGAAGAAGATGTGTACACGCTATATCGACCAATCGCACTACCAATCTATTCATATATTCAAGGATATTCTGTATATAATGTGGAATTCGAATATATACTCTTAAATAAACCACATACTGAATTCATACCCATCAACGAAGAAGAAAAGGCACAATTTAAGACTGTAGTAAACCAATACGTAATTCAAAGAAAACACCCAAACTATCTTACATCATCGTCAAATGCTTGTTTAATAGAATTACTTTTGAAGAAAAACCAGGAGTGCTCACAAAAATATATAAAACTACAAGGTATACTATTTATTCAACTTTCGACGGATCAAGACTGGATAGTCATCGCCCCAAAGAAAGAACAAGTACACATAATCTGTGAAAATCAAGAACCACACATAATAACGATACAAGACAGAAGCATAATACATTTACCACAAGGATGTGTAGGAACAACAGAAGAAGCTATCATAAAAGCAGGAGGAGAAAAGGGAAACACTACATTAAACATACCGATTGAAACAACGGGACATTTAGACCATTGGAAACAAATACTGATGGATAGACAAATCAACCTACAAGATCTTAACATAACATACTTGAAGAAAACTCAAATAACGGCTCAAGATCTCCAATTAATGGGAACAACAATAGATGAGATAAACCAACAGATCGAAATGTTATCACTGAAAAGAAGAACTATGACTACAATGGAACAAGTCAAATATTACATTACAATATTGGGATACGCTAGCTTGATCGGAGCTACATTATATATTTTGTACAAGATGAATTGTCTACGACCCGTGTGGAACATAATGAAGAAAATTCTAACACCATGCATTACAATCTATGATCATTGCTCATTTGGAACATACGCACAAACGATGGATAGATCACCTGCGGAACCAGTTAGAATGACAGATTTAATACACCAGGAAGAAGAACCACCCCAGTACCAAGAACAAGAATTCCAGATGAGATCAAGACTTCCCAGGAAAGCGTTCTACAAACTCTCAGTCAACGAGGTACATTAAGAGTAAGAATGCGATTCTTGTTTATAATATCTCACTAGCTTTTTCTATCTGTTAAGAACTAGATTATTAAGTATTCAAAGATATATTGTAATATGTTATACTAACAACCTAAAACACGAAGAAAAACGAAAAAATACTTATACCGATCGAATACTTATACCGATAGAAAATGTACTAGAATTAGCGTTAAAGTTCAAACAAAGTTTAATAGAGTCGAACAGGAACGTAATATTCGAATAATCTAGAACATTGTCGAAAAATAAATCAAAATGCGAGGACGCATTTTCTTTCACCCCGGGAGGAATCTCACCGGTCAAACGACATAAACAAGATAACGCGTGGTCCAGACGTCGCAAACAAGATAAGCCAAAAACGGCAACGCAATCAAGAGATAAGAAAAGTATAAAAGGAGAAGCAGACCGGCGCGCGCGACAATATTATAAACGCAGATCCTCAGAAGCGAAACATTCGAGATACTCAGAGCTCAGGTTTCGGACGAGTCGTATTACGAGATCATTCTATTGCGACAAGTGTATTCATTGTAAAGTAGTGTAGTGATTAAGAAATAAAGCTTTTAAAAACATAAACTGATCGCTTTCCCGCGTAACAATATAAATTTTATTATTCTCACATTCTTCACAAAATAACTTATGAACAATTAACTACTAATTAAAGGAATAATGATTCTCATGAAATTATTTCAAAAATTAAATAACAATTGTTTAACAAGTATATAATAAATTTAGTATAGAAGAAAAGTAATACTGCGCATCACGCCGTTCAATTATTCCGTTACACCAAGACAGTGGATAGGGCGACTGCCGCGCCACGCCAACATTGAGTACCACTGACAGCGTGTTTCGCCGAACTATTTTTTTTATGAAAAGAAAACAAAAGTGATTTTGTGACTTCGCTTTATTCTTCTTCTGCAGAAATGTCTACTCTATCATGTACGATGGTTAGATTTTCGCCTAGACCCATAGTTTTTTAAATAAATTGAAAAATATCAGCGAAAATTGGAGCGTGTTTGGTGTCTTTCTTACTTTGATCACCATTTAAACATATTTAAATGTTTACAATGTAATAACAATTTATATCGCTTTATTCGGGAAAATTCACAGATTCTTCTCGTGTAAGAGGTCACTGAATAGCTGCTACGGGAAAAGCACAAAAAATTTCCAAAGTTGAAAATTTGCAATGTTTTTAAAAATCAATTTTATCAAAAACTGTACGTCCTAGAGACAAACGGATTTTAGATTCGTATTCAGCTACCAAAAATCTATAAGAATTTCATAGTAGCGGTTACGAAATGAAAAAGAAGTCATTTATTGTACAGTGTTCTTTCTCTTTAACATTTCCCATCGAACATTCAAATTTACTTATCATGTATTCACAAAAAATGAATATGCGAACATTACATGTAATTGCTCTGTTCGTTATTTGAGTTTTGATGGAAAGTGTGACGTCGTGCGACGACGTTTGATCTAGTTGCTTAAGGACTATTTGTCTAAGGATTATTATTATTATTAAGTACATATATATATTGCGTTTCTGGCATAATTAGTTGTAAGACACAGTCCCGCGTGCGTTATAAGTAAGATAGCATAAGTTTCACATTCCTTTACTCCTAGGTCCTCAAGTTCACCTTTTATCTTAACCTAAACATCCTACTATGTACATCCCTATCTAATTCCACGAACCTTTATTTACACCACGCAATCTCCAGACAATAACAGATCATAACTAATCTCTCTTTATCTTCTCTTCTGACACCACCGAGCAATATAAAGGCCCAGTTCGAGTAGCCTCGCGAGCAGTAGCAGTTTGACTAGTCACAGGGTCCGATCCCCTCGTGCTGGACTCTGCTAGTTTCCATCCTAATTCCACTCATTTCCTACCAACCCTAAACTACGCGTTTCATTTATATTATAACTTTAAGTTCATTTGTATCAGTTATATTCCGACATCATCTTAAGTATTAAATACATTTTATATTTAGTTATCTTCGCCTTTAATCATTTCCCATAAACCCGAGATCTCTTTAAAAACTTTTGATTATTGAAAATACGTATACTCGATTACGCTAGATCTGATGGTGCGAGACATAGCCGCACGGTGCGCATATGATGTGTGTGATGCCTTTGCATCTTTAGTCAGCTCATGGGGAGACAAAGACGAGGAGGTCGTAGATACCAATTACGTAAGATCCTACGCACCCTATACCTACCCTGTCTAGCCCCTACTCTGCGACCAGTTATCCGCGAAGTTAAGTATCAGTTATTGCCTATTGATACACCTGTGAAAAAGATCACAGCGAAGGATCTACTACCTAAGGATCTGAGACGAGAAATCTATTGTAAAAGTTAAGGAGGAAGCTTCGGGTAAGTACTGTGTCATACTTGTACACCCTGGGATCTTTGACATACGACGGGCGCACGTACCGCGTGGTCTAAAAGATTGTCAATTCAAGAGCGATTCCGGACCTTCATATTGATATCAGCAAAGGTACCATCCGGGACGTAACAAAAGACTTCTTATTAGATGTTTAGATTGCCGCAAGGAAAAGGCACTTGATCGCGCTCACACTCCGTCGCCAGGTTCGAAGCTATCGCTCCCGCTTCTCGGTGCGCATAATCCCCGCACTCTGATTGGTCTGTGTTTTTGCTTAATAATTCAAAAGCGATGCATCAAACCCCATTTTTGCAGAGGAAAATCTTGTTGGGAATCATGTCCGCTACCTATCCTTTCAGGGAGGTACACTAGTTGTGCAACACTCTGTATATACTGGGTTCACTAAGCGTGAACGTGATCAAGCACCTTTGCTTCGGAACAGTCTGATGAAAAATCTTGATATCAAAATTCAGTTAAATAACGAACAGAATAATTAAAAATAGTGTTCATTTATTCATTTTTCGTGAATACATGATAAGCAAATTTGAACCAGACTTATCTATTGCTTAAAAATAATCCCGTTCCAGGAAAATTGTGTTCTTATGACATCATTGATCCTAATCTTTCGTAAAAAAATACACTGCACAATAACTAATGTCTAACTTGGTCAGTGAACTCATTTCGCTTCACTGTCACTTCTAATTAGTATTTTTAACTGTAATATTCTGCTATTAACCCTTTGCGGTCGGAAGGCGACTCTCAGACGCCACTGCGTTTCGGGCGACAGGTCGGATGGCGAGTGAGAGGCGCTAATCGGGGTTTATGTTAGATTTTGTTATCTCCAAATGAGTGGGTCGCACTATTGGTTCTTGGAAACGTTCCTTAGCTATCGGTGGTCTCTTATACAATGTGTGAAATGTCATATCATATCAAAGATGAGATGTTGAAACATTCTTCTATCAGTGTAGCTCTGACAGTGGTTCTGAGGTGATCTACGTGAATGAACTCATACTTGTACACCCTGGGATCTTTGACATACGACGGGCGCACGTACCGCGTGGTCTAAAAGATTGTCAATTCAAGAGCGATTCCGGACCTTCATATTGATATCAGCAAAGGTACCATCCGGGACGTAACAAAAGACTTCTTATTAGATGTTTAGATTGCCGCAAGGAAAAGGCACTTGATCGCGCTCACACTCCGTCGCCAGGTTCGAAGCTATCGCTCCCGCTTCTCGGTGCGCATAATCCCCGCACTCTGATTGGTCTGTGTTTTTGCTTAATAATTCAAAAGCGATGCATCAAACCCCATTTTTGCAGAGGAAAATCTTGTTGGGAATCATGTCCGCTACCTATCCTTTCAGGGAGGTACACTAGTTGTGCAACACTCTGTATATACTGGGTTCACTAAGCGTGAACGTGATCAAGCACCTTTGCTTCGGAACAGTCTGATGAAAAATCTTGATATCAAAATTCAGTTAAATAACGAACAGAATAATTAAAAATAGTGTTCATTTATTCATTTTTCGTGAATACATGATAAGCAAATTTGAACCAGACTTATCTATTGCTTAAAAATAATCCCGTTCCAGGAAAATTGTGTTCTTATGACATCATTGATCCTAATCTTTCGTAAAAAAATACACTGCACAATAACTAATGTCTAACTTGGTCAGTGAACTCATTTCGCTTCACTGTCACTTCTAATTAGTATTTTTAACTGTAATATTCTGCTATTAACCCTTTGCGGTCGGAAGGCGACTCTCAGACGCCACTGCGTTTCGGGCGACAGGTCGGATGGCGAGTGAGAGGCGCTAATCGGGGTTTATGTTAGATTTTGTTATCTCCAAATGAGTGGGTCGCACTATTGGTTCTTGGAAACGTTCCTTAGCTATCGGTGGTCTCTTATACAATGTGTGAAATGTCATATCATATCAAAGATGAGATGTTGAAACATTCTTCTATCAGTGTAGCTCTGACAGTGGTTCTGAGGTGATCTACGTGAATGAACAAACTCCGTATTGGGGGCGATTGATTTTATTTTTACAAAAGCACGATTTGCTAGCTACGGCGGTCGAGACTGTAATCTCGAACCTCGTTAGCAAAAATACATTTTCTTTATAGGCGAGACAACTCTCTTCTTTTGGGAAGTCCCGAGTGGGAAGGGGCGAGAGCCTCTTAGGCCTGTCGAACCAGCGCAAAACTATTTACAACTTAATGACTCCTCTGACCCGTCGAGTCAAAAGAGTCATTAAGTTGTAAATAGTTTTGCGCTGGTTCGACAGGCCTAAGAGGCTCTCGCCCCTTCCCACTCGGGACTTCCCAAAAGAAGAGAGTTGTCTCGCCTATAAAGAAAATGTATTTTTGCTAACGAGGTTCGAGATTACAGTCTCGACCGCCGTAGCTAGCAAATCGTGCTTTTGTAAAAATAAAATCAATCGCCCCCAATACGGAGTTTATTCATTTACGTAGATCACCTCAAATGGGTAACCCCGATGTGATTTCGGAAAAAGAGGTGCCGTGAGTGAATAATAAATACTGTTTCAAGTGATTAGTTTTTTAAGTGTACATTTGCCAACAATGGCAAATGAAAGTACGAATCCTCAGTAGAGTAATACAGGCGCTAGTTCTAGTAATGAAGTGAATGTAGTGTCGCAAAATTTGTGTCACCCACAATTTTAGCCATTTATGGTCGCATTGTGGTTTGAACTGTTAGCGGCTCATTTTATATCCACGCGCATTACGAAATATGAGACTAAATTTAATATTACCACGATTGCGAATTTCGGTGAAAAGTATATCAAACAGGTTGAGGATATCGTGGTCGATCCGCCTGAGACAGGACAGTACAAACTTTAATTTAACTTTAATATGAAAACATTTATAACGTACAATTATAACTTTTATAACTTATAAACATTTATAACTTACAAAGCTACAGTATTTTACAATATTTACTATGTTTACAATATTTTAATTATGAATTAATTATGATGAGCAAATAAGTTAGTATATTAATGTGTAATGATTAATAGTATAAGCACGTATGATTAATTTTGTTACACAACACTCGTACCCACAAGTCATATTGTGTGCGCCGCTTATAAGCGACTCTCGAAGCGAAAGGGTTAAAAAAAGAGTTAATGAAACGGTTAACGGAATCGAACAGTACCCGCGTGTGTAACGTCCCTGCGACCAGACTCAGGTACTTACAGCGCACATGAAGCAAAGAGCGGCTTTTGTCTGTTAAGCGACTCGTTTTTACTATAACTAATTCTAAAAGAATGTGGGATCGTGGTGGCGTGTGGTTAAAGAGTGAAATCTACAGGTTAATACCTTCCATTAATTAGGTTTATTCAAGTAAAGATGAAAAAGAGAGTTATAATTAACAATTTCTTTAGCATATATAAAAATGTACGTATGACTGCATTTTATAAACAAGATGGAGTATATCGCAGATCGCAAAACGGTAGCTAACTACTTCAGTTACGCGGTTTTATAATGACGTACGCAACGCAAGAAAATAATGCAATTTTATAATGGACCTAGATCCTAACAAAACTGACAGAACAATATTTGGTTAATTACAAAACTCTAAAATTTGTATTGGACGTGGAACAATTACTCCTTGGTTGACTCTAAACTAATTAGTTTCATGGCCCTTTTTGTCGGAGCACAAATCGGCACCCGAAACCTGATCGCTTAATTGGGGAGTTTGCGTTAGCTGGTTACTAGAACTACCCAGCAATGCAAGAATCAAATGACCGACATGTGACCAACAGGGTCGCAAATTAAAATGGCTCGACTTTATTTATTTATTAGAGTTACCGAAACACCACCCAAAAGACACGGGCTTCAGAGACCAAGCCGCTCAATAATGGGGAGTCTGCGTTAGCTGGCTACTAAACTACCCAAAGCGAACTCCGAGAATCTGACGGCGAGTTAGTACAATAATCGAGACTAACAAGGGAACATATCCAACTCCGACACGCCGATTTTGATGAAACTTATGTGACATACAGTTCTCAAGAAAATATTTGACACGTATTTTTTTTATCGGCAATCGTGCATATTGAAGAGGTAATAAAATAATTTTCAGAAAAAAAAAATACCGACTTCGAAATGCACTAAAAAGTATAAAATAATTCTAATGAAGTAATTTCTATTTCATTCAATCATACAATTACGTAACAGATATGAATGAAACCTATTTACTCGTTAGGTAGTATATTAAATACATTTCAACTTTTTTGGAGGCGGCGCAAAATTAAAAATACCTCAGTAAACGTTGCTGCCAATAAGCAGTTGATTGTGGTATGGCGTATGGGAAATTAATAAATCCTGAGAAAGAATATGTACCATTATAGATATACGAGCGAGGCGAAGCCGAGCGAAGACTATACTTCGACTCATGTAATGCATTTTTCTCGAGCACCATCATAGATAGAGCCTTGAAACTTCAAACATTTCAAGATCTAAATAAAAACAACTTTAAGTTCAATACTGAACAAAATTGGATAAAAATTATAGGAGTTAGACTTAATTTTAGCCCAGAACGAGGTCCTTTCACTAGAAATAGCAGAAATCTGGTCTTTTCTCCTTAGTGAACGTCTCATTAGACTATTTGAGGTCCTGAGAAGGTCGAAAGGACCAGTTTAATTAGTTAGGCGAATATTTTTAGTATCCCGGCTTTTTCACCAGAGGAATTAAGGAAGTGGCGCGTCAATCTTTTTGGCCTAGCATAGGTTCTGAAGACAATATTCGAGATACTTTTCCGAAAATTTAGAGACGATTTAGGAGTCTGGTTTCAAACAACTTTTTAAT